GGGGGCATATAATTTAAGGGTAGTTGCTGACCTCCTGAGAGCAGCAGTAAACTGAGGGCCAGCAAGACAAGACCACTTTTGTCCAGTTAACAGTTCAATTACTCTCTCCCTATACCGTCAGGAACATAAGGAAGAGAAAAATCGAAACAGTTATGAACGATAATTTTTTTTAATGTCGGAGCTTTACACTGCCATAGAAACAATTTAGATAATTTTGGACGCGGGCTTCTGTTTTTAATTTTAGTAGAGGTTTCACGGCGCTCGCAAATGCATAACGTCATATGAGCGCCAGAAGATTAGAGGTGTTACAAGAGAGTAACAAACATAAAAAAGAAGGGGAGAAAAGGACGATAGATGTTTGATAGGAAAGAAAAAGCAAACCACACCAGAGCACACGCCAACCACCCACGGCCTTCTGTTTGTTTGTCTGTTTGCTTGAGTACATACAGAAAAACACATCGACACAATTTTAATCATGGTCATTTAGTGCTGAGAAAAAGAAAGACAGACAGACAGACAGACAGACAGACAGACAGACAGACAGACGGACAGACGGACAGACAAACAAACAGACAGACAGACAGACAGACAGACAGACAGACAGACAGACAGACGGACAGACAAACAAACAGACAAATAGACAGACAGACAGACAGACAGACAGACAGAAACAGCATGAAGGAAAGTAAAGAAGTACGACCAACTAGTGGCGTCCTCCAGCCACCCGCTCAGTGTATAACGCCGCTTTTGACACAATTCAGATTATTTAGGAGGCAGGCTTCGTCACTGCCTTAGCTGTCAGGGCCGAGTAAGACAAACACACAAACGATTGTTTGTTTTTAGAGAGCGTTTTACGGCACTTGCATCACAATTAGGTCATATAAGTGTCGAAGATGAGAGGTGTTACAAGAGAGTAACAAACATAAAAAAGAAAAAGGAAAGATAAGAACGATAGTTGTTTGATAGGAAAGAAGGAGCAAACCACACCAGAGCACACGCCAACCACCCTTCCACAAAAGCATATGAGGGGAAGTTTAAAAAACAAGGAAAAGGAAACCTGGCAGAAGCACCCTCTAACCACCCACCTACATCACTTTTCAATTTTAAAAATAAATCAATTAAAGAGACGCACAGCGACAAAATGATGGTCATTCAGTGCTAAGAAAAAGTAAGTCCAGATAAAACAGACAGAAAAAACAACAAAGTTTTAGTTTTAGATTTAGTAGAGGTGTTACGGTGCTCGCAGCTGAAAGAAAGTACACAAAGAAAGTTTTATAAAAATGAGACCTGCCAAAAGCACCCAACAACCATCCATCTACAACGAGCAGCGGAGAGGAGCATTGCATGGAGCGTGGTGATGTGTGGGTCCCAGGCCCCTTCTATCAGCCAGTGCTGTCAGGTCATATGAGCGGAGGGAACATCAGATTTGACGGCCATCTCCGATAGGCCCAAACCAAGCCAAGCGGGTGGGGAATCTTGAAAACTCCCAAACATCCCCGAAAGAGAGAGGGAGGGAGGGAGGGAGGGAGAGGGAGAGAGAGAGGGTGGGAGACAGAGAGAGAGAGAGAGAGAGGGAGAGATAGAGAGATAGAGAGAGAGAGAGAGAGAGAGAGAGAGAGAGAAAAGAGAGAGAGAGAGAGAGAAAGAAAAAAAGTGAGAAAGAGGGAGAGAGAGGGCGGGAGAGAAAGAAAAAAAGTGAGAAAGAGGGAGAGAGAGGGCGGGAGAGAAAGAAAAAAAGTGAGAAAGAGGGAGAGAGAGGGCGGGAGAG